AACCAATATACTATTATGATATTAAAAAATCTGCCTAATTTGACTGGTAATTAGTAATTTATGAAGTGAGAAGTAACAAAAGAATTGGACCCATATGTTATCATTAAAAAATGATGGCTCTATTCTTCTCCATATTATTATTTTCCATGAACCCTTGTTGACCCGTTGGCTCAATGACCCAAAGTTTGGGGTATTGTTTTTCTCAATATTCATAAAAAAAATGAAACTCTAATATTTTTAGTGAAAATCATTTTTTAGCTATTTTTTCAACAAATCTTGTAAGGATTTTTAAAACCATAGTTGGTAGGTAACAATAATACAATTAATTTTTCAAATTTTATCAAATGAAAAGTCCATCTAATTTAATTCGAAAGACTTTGGGAGGGTATCAGAAAAGCTCATATATGTTTGTTGGTTCAAAACCGAAAGAAAGTTCTAACAATATAGAACTGACAAGATATGATCAAACAATGAGATACTAACAGTGAAATAAAACACTAAAAGTACTTTGTTCACCAAAAAAAAAAAACACTAAAAGTACTGTAACAAGTATTTACCAAAATTCTTCCCCAAAAATCATTTACTGCCCGAACAAATTTGGATTTGTACAGAAATCATCTATGCAAAGAACGATTTGCACTTCAAGGCAAACACACTAGATGGGACCTTTTGTGAAAAAACCAATTCAAAATGAAATCGTTCTAATATGGAACAACTTCAGTCTTTAACCAGCAATCCAGGCCTTGAAAATCACGAGCTTTTGTACCCGGCCCTAAACAAGGAGCTCGGGCTTGGATTGGCTCATAAGTCTTTTTTAAATTGTTTTTTCTGAAAAAAATGATAGAAAAATGACTTTTGAATTTGAAAATTTTCAAATGGTCACTGAAATAAGCAAAATTCTAGTTTAGGCATAGCTGATCAAATTAGGATTTTTAAATTTCCTAAAATAACCATATTGCTTTTAATTTTTACAAAAAAAAAAATCAAGTACCCTCACCGACCAGTCGATCAGTAAAGGTTTGGTGCTAATGGCGGCTATCGGAGTTTAGGTGTGTTGCCAGTTACTAGAGCTCCAGTAGCCAACCAATGACTGGTCAACACAGCTCTAGCGATCGGCAACTTTTTTTTGAAAAATTTTTCAAGTCTAATAATGTGATTAACAAGTTCTTTAACATTATTAATAAGTTTGGTATCGCCTTTAACAATGGGTTTTCTAGAAAATTTAAAAATTGAGATTTTTACAACTTCAATAACATGATTAATAAATCATGTAATGATATTACACATCTTTGATAACGTTATTAACAAAATTTTTCTATGAAGGCTGATGTTTTTAGTATCAGCTTCTTATGAAGGTTGTACGACAAAATTTTTTCATTTGTTGGGCAATCACTATAGTTATAAGAGTTATTAATACCATTACATGACTTGTTATGAGAGTTGTTAATATTATTACATGACTTGTTAACTGTATTACTTAAGTTCAGTTCACCTTAAAAGTTTATTTTAAATCGTTGCATCAACGCGTCCTTCATCTTGCGGCATTCTGAAAATACAATATAGGTTGTAATTTTGTAGATCATTTTGAGTAAGTCAAATGACTTCTTTTCACTAAACTCTCTTCATAAAAGTTATTCTATTCTTCTAGATCTATTTAATAATAGTAATTTTATGCTATTTAGAGAACATTTTTAGGTTTAAAATTTGAAGTAAGTGTTGAGTTTGATGATAAATGAATATAGTATTGTAAAGCTATTTTAATAAATCATTCCTATCGATTTAGTTTTATTTATTGATTGACTTATTATTTTTAAATTAATTATTTTATTTAAGCATATATTTATTTATGAAAATATGATATTTTTACTTTGAAACTTTTGATTAAATGATTTACTTAAGTTTATTTGATGTATATCGAATTTCTAATGGTTTATTTTTAACATTTAAACTTGACATAGGATTTTTTGAATTTTAAATCTGATAAGTTCAGGTTTTAAAAATTTGAGAAATTTTTATTAAAGCAAATATTTTGAAAGATTTAAATAAAAAATATGATTTGTTAGAATATTATAATTTTGTGCTGAAAGATTTAATTAGGGGGTATGAGAGGTTTGAAGTTTTAGCGTAGAATTAAAAACTTTAATTTATATACACACACTATCTCAAGTGATTGATTAAATGGATTATGTATTGATATGTAAATCTATTGATTGTGTAGATTAAATTATTGAATTATTACTTTGAATAAGGAGTTAATTTTGTGGTAATCTTTTTTTTTTTTTATAGGTGAGAGGTAATCACTTTTCACTTGTTATGCATGCTTATATGTTGTTTGTGATAAATTTTGAATTATATGAAATTTATAAAGTACTATTGAATTATGATATGAGTTATGAAACTATATTTTTATTGAAACGGTCTTATGAGACTTTCTTTATAATATATATGTATATGACTATGATGATCTCGTGTTATTGGGAATTGATAATTTGAATTGATTTTGGCATGCTGATGACTTATTATGAATATAATTTTTTCAGTATTGATATAAGAGGGGTGGTGAATGTTGATGATAGGAAGTATACCAAAGAGGATATAAAAAGGGTGAATCATGTACATTTGAAGATACAAGGTGGTAGAGTCATCAGGTGTACACTGGTTGGTCCTTTAATCCAATTACTCATTGTAGGGCATTGACACCCCACTACTAGACTAGAGGGAGAACCAATGGTCCAATCTTCTGCTCTATGGATTTTGGCTAATTACTAGTCACATGGATAAAAATTTAGCCCATTGGTTTAGTAAGAGGATATAAGGTGGGTGGATATATGAGAAGTGAGAGAATTATCTATTGTACTTTGTTATATGCTTCGATAATATGAAATTTGTTTAAATACTATGAATTTGCAATGGTCACTTGACACCTCATGAGCACTTACGTGTATACTTGATAAGTAGGATTGTTGATTACTGAGGCTTTTGTCTTGTCCTGTTGATTTAATACTTTTTCAGGTGATAGTTCCCATTTGGGTCTATCAAGAAAGGCTTCGAAAGTTTGAACTACTACCGTAAAATTGTAGCACTTTCACTCTTTTTATTAGGAATTGATAGACCTACTTATAAATTAGTTTAACTCTTTTCTATAATGATAAATTTTCATGTGGTTTTGGTTGTTTATATAACCATGATAAGATTTTTTTTTTAACGATTTGCAAAGTTCTTTTTTTATTATGGTTAACTCTTTAGTATTGATTAATTTAAAGGTGTAGTAGTTTTGTTGTTACAACTGGAGTTCCAAAAAGTGCCCATCTGGTGAGAGTGCTTGATTTTTTTTTAAAAAAAAGAAATTAATTACAATATGGTTATTTTAGCAAATTTAAAAATCTCAATTTGGTAAGCTTTATAAACTAAAATTTTACTTATTTGAGTGATTATTTAAGAATTTTTAAATTCAAGAATTATTTTTCTGTTATTTTCTTTGTTGCCGGATTGCAACGCGCCAAAGACAAGAGGGTGTGTTGGAAAGTGAAAATTATACGGCATGGGTTACGATAATTATGTCATTCTTCATTGGCCCAAAAGATATTGTGCTCGTTTGGATTAACGATTGGAAAAACAGTTTATAGGAAAAATAGCTTATAGAAAAGTAAAGTTGGTAAAAGTTAAATTGAATAAGCTGAATTGTGTTTGGATTGAAGTTCAGAAAAGTTAGTTTGCAAAAGTGAAATTGGTAAAAGCTTGTTTGGATTATAGTTAAGTAAAAGTAAGTTTAGCTGAAAAATTACCAAAATAGGTATGAGTTTTAATAAATAATGAAATATGAAAAAAAATTGATTTCACATAATATAATGAAATTAAAATAATTTAATATGAAGAAATCAAATTTAATGAGTGAATTAAATTTTAAAATTTTAAAGAAATCATAAAAAAATATTTTAAATATAAATTGAAACATACAAAAAAGAATTGAGATAATATTGATAACCTCCTGACATGCACAAATTGTCTCCTGACACCTACAACGGCTAAGAGAAAAAAAATTGATAAGCTCGTGAGTCTGGGAAAAGCTGGATGGGAGAGAGAAAAAAATTGATAAGCTCTTGACACGCACAACGGCTAAAATTTAGTAAAAGCTCTTCTCAAATAATTGATAAGTTCCTGCTAGGAGCTTATTTCCATTAAGCGTTCAGTAGCCTAAAAAATAAATAAGCTCAATAGGAATTAAGCTCTCCCAATCAGACCTTATTGCTCAACCCAGCTTATATTATAATTTAAGGTGCTTTTGGGTCGGCAAACGCTGACCCAAACAGACCCATTATGTCCTCCTTCTCTCTCTCTCTCCCCCTCGCATCATGTTATAATTATTATTATTTATTAATTTTTTTTACTTTTATTATTGAAATTTATTTTGTGCATTTCATGGGTTCCCAAGTAAACAGCTACCTTCTCCTCGCTTCCTATAACTGGTGCTGCCCCCATCAACGACTGTTAGTCTATTTTTCCTCTTTGATATCATTATGGATTAATTGGTTGAAAATATATATGTATTCATATTATTATCATAATGAGAAATTTAAATTAGCAAAAGTTATTCAGGCTCTTTAAGCTAGACTTGTCTAAGTATTTAGGATAGAAAGGTGTATAGGCCTAAGTTTATAGGGAAAATTGGTTAAAAAAAACCCTATTTAAAAATTTAATTAGCTAAAAAGACTTGAATTTGAGTAAGTATAACTATGATTTGTGAGTGTAACATATTTTCTATTATATGCAACATATCTTTCGCTTTGTGCTAATGATTTTCGTATTAATGATTATTACACATCATTAATGATATGTTATACACAATAAAAAATATATTACACTCACATGTCATAGTTATACTCGCTTAAATTCAAGTTCTTTTAGCTAATTAAAATTTCAAGTTCATATTGACCCAGAAAACTCATATTAGCCTATTTTGTCAACTCTCATTTTGACCGACAACTTAAACATTTTTTTTTCAAAATCAACAACACTATATTTTTCATCATAAAGTACAGCATTATCAAATGAACAAAATTGCATTACAATACTGATGACACGCCTTATATGACACGCACGCAGGTAATCAAATTCTTAACATAGCTTCGAAGATCATATGCAAAATTGAAATTAAAGCCTAAAATACATACTACATGCTTACAAACATAATAATCAGAATAAACACATCAAAAACACAGAATCGGATTCCTATTCACAAACCATAGGAGGCGTTGGAGATGGAGGAATTGGAATATGTTTCAACCCTTCCAACATCAGTATCACATTCTTCATGGAAGGACGTAGAGATGAGGCCTCTTGGACGCACCATAAGGCCACCTTCACCATTCTCTCCAATGTAATCCATTCCACATCTTCATCTACTACCAATTTATTCAATTCCCCTCTCACAAAGCAATTATATACCCAACTAGAAAGCATTATTTCCTCTTCTGAAGGAGCATTCACGTCTATATTCCTTCTGCAACATATGATCTCCAACAGCACCACGCCATAGCTGTAGATGTCAACTTTAACAGATGCCAATGCATCTTTTTGTCGTTCAGGTGCCACATAGTCACTTGTTGATTCATTGCTACTTCTGGTACTTGACTGTTTTGGCATTGATAGCCTTGCAAATCCAAAATCAGATATCTTTGCTGTCCACATTTCATCCAAGAGAATGTCATGAGGCTTGATATTGTAGTGGATGATACAAACTTCACATTCTTCGTGTAGACATAAGATACCTCTTGCGACATCCAATGCAATCTTGACTCTTTGTTTCCAAGATAGATGCATCTGAGCTTTGAACAAAAAATCCGCTAGGGACCCATTGCTCATGTATTCATAAACAAGAAGCTTTCTTGAACCATTAATGCAATAACCAATAAGCTGAACCAGATTTCTGTGATGAGTTCGAGCAATTGCAGTGATTTCAGCTTGAAATTCTCTTTCTCCTTCGTCAACAACATTGTCTAATTTCTTCACAGCTATCCTTTGATGGTTTCCGTGAATTGTTCCCTTGTAAACCACTCCAAAAGATCCTCTACTGATCTCTTCTTTGAAGTTTCTAGTTGCATTCACCAACTCATCAAAGGTAAATGTTTGTAAACTACAATCCTCAACAAACCCCAAATTGTCGCTACTAGCAGCGAGCTTTGTGTATGAATAGACTTTATGCATGTAGATGAAGAAAATAGATATTGCAAAGACTAAGCAAAGGAATAAAATCGAGCCTAGAATGATGAGCAAAGTAAAAATTAGATTTTTCTTATCATCAACAACAACCTCTGGCTTTTTTTGGATGGATGGCATTCATTGAAGGCACCTTGAAGAGGGCTGTGGTTGATACAGTATTATTAATTCTGCCAAAAGCAAGCGGAAGCTTATACTTCTTGCAGCTGCCATCTTCATGTAACACTGCCCCACAATCACAGTCTTCCTGGCATGACTTCCCACAAGCTTCCATTTCCAATTGCATGTTCCAATAAGGAACAAGGCTCCATTGCATATGTTGCAATGGGCTACTAACATTGTATAGCATCCTCGGATCTCTACTGGTGATACAATCATTTTTCATGGTCTGATCGCAAACCAAGAACATGCTGTTGTTTCCACTTATTGGCTTGAATCCGAGATAACACTTGCATTCAGCTTTGCCAGCTACGATGGAGCAATAACTATTCAAGCCACAAAAGCCCTTGACTTGACAACGATCAGAAATAGCCTCCCACAAAAGATGACTAGTGAATCCAGTATTATTCTTCTCCAATGTGTGAACATACAATCTAAATATGCCATCCAAATCCAATGTTGCACGATAGATTAAGCTTGTGGTCCTCCCGAGATAGTTGCCATTGGCCAGAACCTTGATGGTATCCCCATAATAGCTGAGGCAAAGAAAGCCTGTAAGATTAAGAGTAAGTTGTGAGGCACTTAGTTCAGAAGTATTTGAGTGCCAGTAAGCATCGTCTTCTCTTTCATTATTCCCAGGGTAGGCAACAAGATTTCCATCGCTCTGCATATTGAGAGTGAAATGTCCATTTGCAGAGGTCAGATTTTGTCCCTCAGATAAATTCTGACCTCCTAATATGGTGTCCGTGGGATAAACAAAGCTCTGCCAGAGGACACTATGATTCTTACTATAAAGCACAAAATTCCCAGAATCAAGCATAGATGCTGAAACCGCAGGCTCAGACGCGTTAGCAATGACTACTTCCTTCTGTTTCTCGTTTCTAAGCAGAAGACCCTCTTTGGTTAATTCAATTCGGGTTTGGTGTCCAAACGATGGTTCCTTCTGGTTCACCCATGAGCCATATTCCAACAGCAAAGCCATTATCTTGCGGATAAAAGCCGAAGGAAAAAAGACCCGACAGTGAAACCCATGAAGTAGAATTCGTTTTTGGGGAGAGGGAAGAACCCAAATTTATGACGTTGGAATCATTGTTTTGAGCCCTAACTTGGTTTGCAGATAGAACTACAGACAATAAGAACAGAGGAATGGGGGACATGGATGATATGGTATGGCGGGAGAATGGACGAGGAGGAAGAGAAGATTGGTTAGCAGAATTCCGAAGAAATCAAGAAGGATATGAAATTGGGAAAATGCAGGTGCTATCCAACCTGTATAAATTGGCATTTTTGGGACTGATTTTGAGTGAAATATTAAAAAACAAAAAAGCGGGTTAGGACATGAACATGAGTTATGGGAAAGTTCGAAAAGAGCGAAGACTCTTGAGTTGTTTCAATCATTTTCGTGTAATTTCCTTGAAGAAGGGCGATGGGTCGACAATCGGTAGTTAGGGAATCTCACGGAGCAGAAAATGTGAAATTTGCCCTTTGCAAAGCAAGCACAAAAATATGATGATTAAAATATTCGATTATGCGCTTGATTTTGTTGACCAAAAGGCAAATCAATATAATTGGAACGATTTATTTTAACCCACGTGGGTTAAGGATTAAACAAACTATTTTGGTTTCAACTTTCATAATTAAATGGATTAAAAATGTAAACTTGATTTATTGCTAAGTTAAATTGATTGTATAATTTTTTTTAAAAAATCTAATTATTACATATATAATATTTGACTCTTAACTTTCAAAAAATATTTGCTATCTCTATAAAAAAAAATTATATGACTTACAAATTAGCTAAATTGAGTTATTATTATTCTATCAAAATCTTGTCAAGTGATTTGTAATCTAATTCTGAAATTCAAAATATGTTTGAATTTTCTTCGCACAAAAAAAAAGGGTGAGTTTGGTTGGGAAGTTCACTTGGGCCAAATACACTGGCTCAGAAAAACCTATATAAAAATTTATAAATTACCCACTAATAAAATTCTCATATTAATAATAGAATTTAAACTCACAAATAAAATTCTCATATTAATAATAGAATTTAAACCCACAATTTTACGGACTATAAGTTATAAGTTAACTCCTTCCTATCAACCTTTTGCCATCCTTATATTTCCCAAACCCAATCGTGATCCATGATGTGCATTCAATCAAAGAAACAGCTAGTGATCTTGTGAGCCCAATACAAATTCCAAACCAAACGAAGCTCATTGAAAAAGACAAAATACACCAATCAATAAACCGACCGCGTGTTATATAAAGTGAGAATAAGAGAGATCTTTGGGAATTTACGAGGAGTTTTTTTAAGAAAAAGCAAAAGATAATTGATAATTATTTTGAAATTAATTTAAATTACAGACACATCTATTCGTTGAAACTTTATTAAAGGACTTTTGGGAAACAACCTTATCTCTCGGATGAATCATTCTCTTGGATCTTTTTATGAGATTCTAACAACCAAATTACGTAATTTAAAAAAAATTGTTAAATTGGAAAAAGTGATAAATACATAAGAAATGTATTTTTTTTGGGTCAAATATAGGTATTTTGCAATTGAAAGCAATCCTATTTGAAACACTATCAGGTACTAAAGGTAAACAGCTCTCTTAACAAGGATTCAAATGTCGATACACCAAATTGTGAAGGGTTAGCTTCCCTTATCAGACTCAACTCCTATTGCTATCAGCTTATGAATAAATGGTTCAGGGAGAGGTACAACAACCTTCTTATTAAAGTATAATTTCCTAATAAGTTTCATAAAGAGAGAACTTTTTTTCCCCAAAAATATAATAACAACAGCTATTAGATAACATAATATATACACATATAAGTTAATAGATACTAGCTTCAACCCTTAACATAATTCAATTATAAACTAAACCTCATATTAAAAATCAAAAGTATTATATATATGTATATATATTTACTTGTCTCTATCTCAACTTTATTACTTTATTATATTAAATTTATTAACCTAATTCAACCATGTCAATTGAGTTTCATAATTGGCATTGTAGAGAGAAATTAACTTAAAAAAAGAAAAAAGGAACTTCAATTATTAAAAAAAAAAGTCATGGTCATCCCATGATTGTTCCGACAATATGATGCATTTTGGATGTCCATATCCATTATGAAAGCAATTTTTTCCCCTTTTAATTCATAAAGAAGCCTTTAGTTAGAAAAGGAAACAAAAGTTAACCCATTGCATCCACTAAATCATGTTCCAGCATTGACCAAGTCTATTTGTTAAAATATTAAAATTAAATACCAAAATATAACAACTATCTATATATGAAAGAAGGAAGAATTGCTGTGAAATAGGAAGTAAGGAATATAATTACTAAAAATTTCTAATAAAAATAGAGTAGTTTATAGTGACAAGTTCGAGAATAATAAATAATAATTGCTTACTTATAATTAAGACTTGTTTATAATTATTTTCTCTCCTTGAGACCTCATTCTAATTCTCCTCTAAAGTAATAAAATCCGCATTTGTAATGCATTAAATAAAATTTATTTAAAAGGTAATTAAAATATAGATAAGTATTAATTTGGAGGTCAAATATATAAAGTAATTATTTCAAACTTAGTTTTAAGTATCAGAAATTTAAGTGGGTTAAGAATTACCATACAAGATTTTAAATTAAAAATTCATCTCTGGTCATTCTATAATTATTATAAATTTAAAAAAATTTGTAAAAATAATATTCTTAATTTGGAATTTCATGTGTAGGTTATTCTCGCAGCCTGTTTGTTACAGAGAAAATTTACGGAAGGAAAAGGAAGATGGCACATCTTTCATCCTCAGGCGCGTTTGTTATGAAGAAATTAATGTTCTTATATGAGACCCACTTTCTTTTAAAATATGAAGGGGAAAGAAATAGCTTTCTTCCACCTTAGGTGGGAACATATTTTTCCATGTGAGAGAAGAGTTAATCATTCCAATCCATGCCATTGAAGCAAATTATTACTTATGTAATTAGTGACTAAAATTGTTTCTCTTAAAAATAAATAAATTATGAGAATAAAAATTAATATAAATAAAAATCAATATATATAATTAATAAAATTATAAAGACTCAGTAAAAAAAATAATCTAGAAAGACCTAATTAAAAATGAAATGAATTATGATAAGTCTGATATCTTAAATGGCCAAAAAAAAAAAAAGAAATGGAAATTTTATATTTATTTGTGTTTAATGTGATTTATTAGTTATGTCATTAGACGCGTTTTGGGTTAATTTGTGTTTTTTTAATTTTTTTTAATTCATCATTTTTCTTTTCCTTTCCTTTGCATGCCCAATGATGTTCCAGCGGCCAGAAATTTCGTTCTCTTGCATTAAAGTTAATTGTTCCTACCAAACGCGCCTTTGCCATTTTCTTCCATCGAAGAAAGCCACGATCAATAAACAAGGAAATTTCTCATCACTTTCGGGGAGGCCATGGAAGAGAACTTTGAGATTCTGCAATATAATTTCACCCGTAGGTCTTTCATCGCACCAATCCCTTTTGTTCATTGGCGATTCCTCAATTCTGTGAGATTTTCTTGGCCATGGCTACCATTCCACCAAGCATCTACTTTCTCCTTTTGGTATATTTTCTATGTGAGACAGTGGTATTCGCAGAACCCATACCCCTTGGCTCGTCACTTTCCCCCATTGTTCCTCCCGCTTCATGGTCTTCACCTTCTAGTCGATTTAAATTTGGGTTTTACAATCAAAGCAACGGCTTCAAAGTTGGAATCAGGTTACTTGATGGGACTAATGAAACAATCGTCTGGAATGCAAATCGCGATGACCCTCCTGTTTTCTCAAATGCAACGCTTGTTCTGACCAAGAGAGTTGAGCTTTCTCTACGAACAGGTCAAGGGCAACAGAAGGTGATTGCTCATAGTGACAATGGAACTGTTTCTTCTGCTTCCATGCTTGATTCTGGCAACTTTGTTCTACAAAACAAAAGCTTCGACATCCTTTGGCAGAGTTTCGATTACCCCACTGATACCATGTTAGGGGGTCAAACTCTACCTTCCGGGAGTCAATTGGTATCGAGTTCATCAGACACCAACCAATCTTCTGGTCGGTTTCAACTCTCTATGCAGGCTGATGGAAACCTTGTTCTCTACCCACGATATTCTGGTCGTACAACTTATGATGCTTACCGGGCCTCTGACACTTATCATGGCACAAGTTTCAGATATTATCTTTTCCTCAACAACACAGATCTTCAGCCTCTGTGCATTGTAAATGCTAGTAGTTCCAACTCAGAAATACTTTGGTGGAAGGGTGATAGCAGCTTCAAAGGAAACAATACTATTTATCGCGCAACTATTGATTCTGATGGGGTTTTACGACTCTATGCTCATTTTGATGACGCGGATGGTAAACACAAAGTTATAAAATTGTGGTCGCCACCAGATTTGGACAACCTTTGTAATGTGAATTCTTTTTGTGGGTTCAACAGCTATTGTACTGTCAATGACAACCTTCCTTATTGCAATTGTCTTCCCGGGACTGATTTTACAAACCCAACTGATCATAGTCTGGGATGCAAAAGGAACTTCTCGGAAGCAGAATGCAAGGGTGGGAAAGACAATGCAACTTTTTATTCCATGTACCCCATGGAACACATGAGAGTAGGTGATCTTGATCTTCCTTATACAGAGGAAGACATTTTAGAGGAGGAATGCGCATCTTCTTGTTTGCGAGACTGTTTCTGTGGGGCTGCCTTTTATGAAAACAATCGCTGCAAGAAACAACAACTTCCATTAAGATATATTGGCAGAGAAACACAAGGGTCCTTCTCCTCCTATACAATATACTTCAAGGTGGGAAATCAAAGCCTCAGAAGTAACAATGATGCACTTTCCACAACTGAACCTTACCAAGCACCTCCCATCAAGACTACCAGTAAGAAAGCAATTAAGGTGATCATTCTCATTGTCTTGAGTTTTGTTATTCTTTTGTGTTTTGCTATTGC